CAAAAAAAATTATTGTCGGACCATACAAAAATTCCCTGAGAAAGATAGAGGAGGAGATTGCTTCCTCTTATCATTTTAATTTATTATTATTTAAAATTTCCGACAATTGGCGCCCAACGTGGGGCCTTGTCACCCTTTTAAAAATCCTCCTCCTCTTTAATTTATTATTTATTATTTTAAAATTTCCGACAATATATATATATATATATATATATATATATATATATATATATATATATTAGATTTAAACTGTCAGAAATACGATTATTGATGAAAATCACAGCTTGTTCGGCGTTAGTTAAATTTCTGTTTAACTTTTCGATTTTCTAACGGTTTTGATCGTAAATCATTTTCAAATTTTTTGAGTTCAAAACCAAAATTTTTGTTTATTTTATGCATGATAGAACAAAAAAACTTTTTTCGGTGTTCCTATCCCATCTTTGGTGTTCCTATACCATCTTCGATGTTCGAATTAATACGTTGTATATGTGGCCAGATTCTCAAATATATATATACTGCGTCTCTACTCTACTTTGTTGACTCCTTATTTGTTCAAAGTGAATACTTAACGCTCATTTAATTAGTTTTACAATCTTCAACTTTGTCCAATACAACACTTCTACGTGTTTTCATAGTCCATGATTCCTCTGTTTCTAAATTTATTAGCTAGGAAAAATTCCGATTGCAAGTTGTTGAATATTTATTATCGGATGTCTTTATTTTATGAGTATTGATTCGGCCAGTCTTAAATTATAAAAATTGTGGTCCAAGATTTGTCTAGTAATTTTAGTTTTGTGTTTCTCCTTCATGTGGTCCTTTATAGCGCCAGTTTGAACGTGCATCGTGAGTCTTCTTAAACTGGCGCTATAATGGAAATATTAAACTTATACGCGCTATAAAGAATCACATAAAAAAGAAGCATATTCAACAAAGTGCAATCGGAATTCTTCCTACTAATAAATTTAGAAACAGCTGATGTTTCAATGTTTTATGATGCTTAAAAATGTATAAAAGTCTTAAGAAAGTCTTTCACTAAACTTTGATATTTATTCAATAAATTGAAATTTTTTAAAATTTCATTAAACTTTTAAATGTTATTCATTTTTTTAAATTATTATAATCACACATTCGAAGCTGGATTGAAATGAATCCATAAAAAGAATATATGAAATTTGCTTACGTTTGCGAATGGATAAGATGCAATAATGTTTCTCTCTCTTGTGCTGTTATGAAATTAGCAAACTATAAAATTGGCCTGCATCTTTGCATAGATATAATAACTATAGTTATATCTATGCATTTTTGCGCAGCAAGAAACAATCTTAGAATTCTAAAAATAATTATAATTACAGCCAAGAACAGTAAGTAGTGCACAACAATATAAATAAAATCACATCATTGTCTTTCAATATATTTTAAAACATAAATATAAAATAATTTTACTAATGAAAAAAGTTACATCGACTGATTTTAGAGTATCTTTCGTTTATCAGTGAAATTATAAAACAAAAGTTGCAAATTATTTTTGGGCGTCAGAACCCAGATTTGGATTCGGGTGGGAAAATTTTCAATCGATAAATGAACTTTTTCCGGCTCTGACGCCTTGGTTACTATATAATTTTATTTCTTTAAAAAATAGTACAATTATAAAATATTTATATGTTTAGAACTATCAAAAAATTATCCGATAAATCAAGAAAATATTTGTCCATCTTTGATAAGCATTAAATATTAAGTCTATTTCCAGTTTTTTCAAATTTTCAATATAAAAAAATACTTACAAACAGATTTCATGTAGAAATAAATCAACACCATGAGTGCTATGAAAATGTTCATTATGACAACCGTCTTGAAAATTTTAAATATTAACAGTAACCAATCGAATTAGTTGTAGAAAAATAATTCATTTTTTCATATTTTAGCAACCATCAGGATTTTATATTAAAAACTACCATTAATGGAGCAAAGAACGTAGAAACGCCGGAAGTCATTATATTATTGCTGTGTTCTAATAAACAATAAGTCTGAAAATATTAGAAAACTGTAAAATTAACTGTTACAATATAAACATGAAAAATCGTTAAACATGATTTTATTACAAAACGGTGAAGCTTAACAGCGAAAAAGAATGCAAAACGTCAATTAATATTAATAATATTTGTTTACGTGCATTTTAATATCTCAATTGTTATTATATACAGATCAATTATATGTAAAAATAGTTTTTTTGATGCATGATTGTTTAAATTTTATTTCTCATATTCTACTCTAATTTGTCACTTTAATACTTTAAAATGTTTACTTTTAAAATTTATCAGTTTAATACTTTAAAATGTGATTCCGTGTTGAATTACATTTAAATTGCACGTAAACAAATATTATATTATTGTTGTAACTCCATGACCTCGTAACTACCAACACCAATGTTATAGCTTCAATAATCCCTATATTTCCAACACCATTGTTGTAGCTTCCACCGATCGTTAAGAGTTCATTATAGGTTCAAGATTTCAGATAGATGAACACAACTGCTTAAAACGCAAATTTTGTTGAACGTTTATAAAAATACCAATGGTAATAGAAACAATAAACTAATCCTAATAACTACATAAATCACATTTACGACTTCGCTTTCTGTTAGCTTGTAACCTCAACTAGCTAAGTCTTGTTCGTAAGTCGTATTTATAGCCCATTTTACAACCATAGATACAATATTTCTTTACACTTTACAGCCCAAAGATTACAAATATACCATAATAAATAATATAGCCCGACGTTCGTTCGACCGTTCGACTCGTTCGTTCGACCGTTCCCGCGGTTATTGGTTTAACCTTGAACGGTTCTCAGACGTCGCAAAAATTTTTTAAAGGATCTCAACATTATGAGGGCAAATAACACAAGATAGTCCTAAATTTTTGAAAAGTGTATACATAGAAGCTTCCACATTTCCCTTTGGCAAATAACACAAGATAGTCCTAAATTTTTGAAAAGTGTATACATAGAAGCTTCCACATTTCCCTTTGCTCCAACTTTCACAGCTATAAACCTGGTTTTGCATCCTTTCTTGTTTAAATTTTTAGTATATACTTTGCAGTTTTTAAATCGTGGCTTCTACTTCTTCTTTCTCGTGCCTTGTGACCATCGAACTCCATAACACTTTAACACTTTGTAGTAGTTGAAATGCCTTCTCGAATGTCATTCGTTGTTGACCGCAATCTCTTCTCCCTGCAATCTTTCCATAGTTGTTAGATTTTTGTCCTTTCCATCCGCATGGTGTGACCAAAAAACTTTAACTGCTCCCGTCGAATTATTTGTAGTAATTACCGCTTTTCATAACCGGACTGTTTTAATACATCTTCATTAGGGGTATAAAAGTTCCAAATAATTCTCATATTTTTTCTCAAAAACCACAACTCAGTAGCATAAATTTATTTTCAGTTTCCTTAGAAATTATCCAGGACTCAGAGCCGTAAGTGAGCACAGAAATAATGTAACACTCTAACAGTTTTAATTTGGTTGATATAATGATTATACTGTTGGTGAGGATATTTTTCATTTTGGAATATGCATCTTTCGCCATAGCTATCCTTCGTTTGATATCCACATTACACTTACAACCTGAGGTAATCAGACTTCTGAGATAATTAAAGCTTTTGACTTGTTTCATCTGTTTACCATTAATAATTATATAGCAGATCGGGGCGGTTTTGCTTTTACTGATAATCATGCACTCCGTTTGGTTGATGTTAATTTGCAAGCCTTTCCTTTCACTTTCAAAAACCAGTTTGAAAACAATTGTTTGCAGTTTTCCCATTGATTCCGCCGTAAGAGCTGTATCATCAGCATATTTTACATTTTTTATATTTACGCCTTCAATGGATATTCCAAGTAGATCTTTTATCTTTTTCAAGATGATCTCGCTATAGAGATTGTACAATTCTGGAGAAAATACATAGCCTTGCCTAACAACTTTCTTTATTTCGACAAAACTTTTCATCTTGTAACCAACTTTCATCGCTGCTCTTTGGTCCCAATAGAGGTTTTTTAATAACTCTCGTGTCTTTTCCATCAATGTCTAAATTAACCAATATTTTCATAAGCTACACGTGTTTCACGCTATCAAAAGCTTTGGAATAATCGACAAAACATATAAGCAAGTCTATCTTCATTTCAATCGCTTGTTTACTGATCATTTGTAGCATGAAGATAGCGTTTCTTGTGCCACAATCTTCGACAAAACCACATTAGACATTTGAAATTTCAAATCTGATTTTGTTTCGAGTTCTCATTATTCTTGAGAATTCTCAAGAAAAATTTTGTAAGACTGCTTACAAGTTGATTGTTCAATGTAGTTAAAATTTGGTTGCATAAGTTTTTTTGGGCATTACAATAAATATTGACTTTATTTTCAGGAATTTCGCCGCTGTTATCTATCTCATTCAAAATTTTTGACACTTTTTCAATGTCAAATTCATTAAACCATTAAATTTCTTCAACAACTATCTCATCCAGGCCTGGCTCTGTTAGATTTCATTCTGGACAAAACGGCACAAACTTCAGACCTGAATATCTTTGGTCCTTCTATGTCTTTTTTAATAGAAGGCTTTTGACTACGGATATCATTAAAAAGATCGATAATGTATTCAGTCCATTTTTAAAGTACTTTTTCTTTCGGTAAGATTATTTTGACGGATTTAGCATTTAGATGCATCCAAAAACGGCACAAAACCCTTTTCCAGTGATTTTTTAGAAGATGTTTTTCTGTATTGCATTCATGGATTGCATCGAATAATACGGAATAAGATGCCGCGAACCAACTGTACCAGAAGAAAGAAGACAACGGTGAAAGAGGCGGAGGATCTAAAGACAACGGCTCCAACAGCGGTAGATCTTCTATTCTAAATCCAATACCTTGTGTGAAACAGGGACCTTTGACCCAAAGACTAGGTGCACTGCTTACAACAGTGCTCTCTTGGGCACGAGATAAACTGCCACGGCGCTGCCTTGTGTGCTTCCAGCAAAAAGGCTAGATCCACTGCTTATAACTGGTGGTTGTCGTTAGGAATTGGGCAATTCCAGATATAAAAATTTTTTGACCCAAACATCTTTCTTGTCATCACAAAAAAAGAAAAGATCTCTTATTCCTTGGAAGACCTTAAATGGTCAAGGAGTGACAATATTCAGAAAGTGGATAGTGGAGGGATGTTGCGAAAAATTGGGCGTCCTCTCCTGGAATATCAGACATGGCACTTTAAATACTGAATCGCTTACTGGACGCTTCATGAAGATCGTCAACATGCTGGGAAGGCGAAGGGTAGACATCTGTTTTCTGCAGGAAACAAAATGGAAACCAATTTGTGTCTCTCTTATAGGGAGTTACAAGTTGTTTTGGAATGGCCAAAAAACAGCCCAAAATGGAGTGAGAATTTTTATACGGAAATCACTGGCTCAAAATGTACTCTAGGACTCGAATTAAATTACGCCTAATGCTGATTAAACTCAGAATGGGAAAACAGGTTCTGACTGTTTTCTCTGCATATGCACCACAGACCGGTGAATCTGAAGACGCCAAAATGACTTCTGGAACACATTCTCAGATGCTATCAGAAAAATATCATCATCAGAGATACCATTGATATGTGGCGACCTCAACAGCCATGTTGGAGATAAAGCAAATGGGTTCCACGGTGTCCATGGAGGCTTTGACTACGGGTCTCAAAACGAAGACGGTGTATGGATTCTGGAATTTGCTGAAATGTTGAACACCTATTTCAAAAAAAGGGCAGAACATTTGATCACATATAAAATCGGAATGTCATGCGCACAAATTGACTTTATCGTCGTCAGACAACGACACAAACGACTATTTAGGAATATAAAAGTCATAAGTCATTCCAGGCAAAGCAACACCGATTGCTGGTGACCGATACGATCATGGAACGATCACGTCCTGTGACTGATAGAATGCCTGCTAGAATAAAGACATGGAAACTAAAGAACTCCATGTTCAGGGAAAAATTTGAGGAGTTTGTATCGGCACAGCTGGATCATCTGGAGAAGGTAGGGTTAGGGAATCTGGAAATCTGGACACCCTAGTGAACGCTACAACAGTTGTATGTAGAAAACTTAGACCAAAACGCCAGCACAACCGGAAAACTTGGCGGTGGAACGAGACGATGCAAAATGTTATTGCCAGTAAGAAAGCAGCATTCAAACAATGGCAGAAGATGAAGACTAATGAAGAGGGTTTCGTGGCCGAGTGGTTAGTGTGTCCGTCTACCACTCCCACGACCCGGGTTTAAATCCTGCAGTTTTTAAAGATTCATCCGGATAGCCGACCCACGACCAACTCAGCCGTCCATCGTTTCGAGGCTGGTAAATGGGTGGACGACGTAATTTGTCGCTTGTTGACCGGCGAGATGGCTCAGTGGTTCAAATGCTCGCTGAGTCAAAACATCTCAATGGCTATCATATACTCAGCGTATACGATGCGGTGCTAGCGCGTGCACATAAATCCATGTGTACGTCGTGTGAAAAGGATAAACAGCCTTTATGACAAAGAAAGCTACTTCAAATTAATGGTTGAACATATGAAGAACATAATAAAAGATATATAGATACTATATCTGTAACATTGTAAGTGGTTCTGCGTATGTCAGAGCCGCAATAATAAAGACCAAAAAAAGATCGAAAGACATACCGATAAAAAAACACAGCAGCGAAATGTCAGATAGTGATAGCTCGTGCAAATCAATGCAAGGTATGGCTGACTGGAAATAAAAGCGAACAAATTCGGTCACTCTACCAAATAGCAAATCACGTAAAAAGACTGAAAAAGGATATAGTTGGTGCTACATGCATAAAGAATAATAATAAAGGCACCGTGATAACCTTGCAGAATGAAGTGAAGGATCACTGGAAGGATTCGATCAGTTATTGAATGAAACAAACCCTACTGGGATGGACTTCCGGAGGAAGGACCGATTCAGGGCATCACAGCTGAGGAGCTTACAGATGCGCCAAAGGCAATAAAAGTGGGTAACGCGGCTGGTCCGTCTGGACTTACAAATGATATCATCAAGGCATCTGGTGGGACAGGCTTCAGAGCCCTCTTACACATCTTTCGGGAGATGTGGAGTAAATCGATACGACCAGTGGAATGGAACAGTAGCCCAACTGTGCGGATATATAAAGGAAAAGGAGATCTACTGAAATGCTTCTCATATTGGGGTATACGTCTTCTAGAACATCCCTGAAAGTTATTGAAAAAGCCATTGAGCCAAACTTGAAAAAAAGCCAAAAAATTATTGTCGTGCGTTTCAATGGGTGGTTACAGTACGGCTTCACGGCAGGGAGATCCACCATTGATGGTATCTATATCATACGTCAACTGCCGGAAAAATATTTGGAAAAGCAGAAGGAACTGTTCTATGTCTTTGTAGACTTAGAAAATTTTTTTGAC